GCACTTTAGATTTTTTTCTTTCTTTCTGAGGTTCTGAAGCACCTAGATCAGTGGTTCTCAACCTTCTGGCCCTTTAAATACAGTTCCTCATGTGGTGACCCAACCATAAAATTATTTTCGTTGCTACTTCATAACTGTAATGTTGCCACTGTTATGAATCGTAATGTAAATATCTGAAATGCAGGATGGTCTTAGGCGACCCCTGCGAAAGGGTCGCTCGACCGCCAAAGGGGTCTCGACCCACAGGTTGAGAACCGCTGACCTAGATAAATGGGCTCCTCTTAAAATTCTAACCCATTCCTTGCATCAAAATGGCTGGATGTGTCAAATAACCATCGAAATGTGCCACAAGCTGTTCTAGGGTCTTTATGTGCATTATTCCATTCAAGTTCCATTCAACCCTTGGTGGTAAGTTTTCATATTACAAAGGAGGAAACTGAGGCACGTCAAATCTGAATAACTTATCCAAGGCTACAGAGCTTGAAAGGGCAGGGCTGACCCCCAGCAGTCTGCGGGCATTGCCTGCACATTTCTTACAAGTTCTCCAGCTTCCAACACTGAAATAGCTGAACGCCCTGAGCCAGAAAGCCTAGTGCCAGAACAGGGTTCCAACCTGGGCTCTGACGCCTCCTCCCTTCCTCAAAGGACGAGGGTCCCCCTGGCATGTTCAGTTGCCCCAGCCCTCCCCACAGCTCCTTCCTGCTTCTGGGCCTCCTGCCACCTAGCCCAGCCTGGCTGAGTCTGCATTCAGCAGATCTGAGCTGCAGAGAAGCTTCTCCAGGCCCCAGGCTGTGCCCCCTCCTTTGCTCTCTGTACTCTCATGCACCACCGCTGTTAACTGTAATTAAATCATTCTTTGATCAATTATTTGTTTAGTGTCTATTTCCCCTACTTCATTGTAAACAGTGGTGGTTCCAGAATTTTTATGTAGATGGGGGCAAGTAATCTGTCTGGGCTGGGGGACTTGGCTTTCAGTGCTTTGTACTTGACAGAGGCTGAGAAATGTCAATTGAACAAAGAAATGAATGAAGGTGCTGCATACCCCAATCGCACCCCCACCGTGATGTCACCGCTGACTGTGAGTTCCATAGTGTCTATCTCTCTTATCACTGTAACCCCAACGCCTTGACACTGTGCCTGGCACATAGGAAGTGCATAATAATTTTTTGTGAAATTAATAAATAATTGAAAGCCGAGGGGCTAGTACCAGAACAGAGTTCTAACCTGGTCTCTGACTTCTTATCTGAAAAAGAGCAATGATGAGACCCAGATACAGCTTTTTCTGTTGTTGTTAATCCTCACCCAAGGATATTTTTCCATTGATTTTTTTGAAAGAGTAGAAGGGAGGGGGAAAAAAAATTAAAAAAAAAAAGGTAGAAGGGAGGGAGAGAGATCGAGAGAAACATCCAAGACACATTGATTGGTTGCCTCCCCCATACGCCCTGACCATGCCCTTGACCAGAATCAAACCTGGGACCCTTCTGCAGACCGGCCGCTCTATCCACTGACCCAAACTGGCTAGGACAGAACACAGCTTCTTAAAGCAGCGTTACATAGGAAAACATGCTGAGCATAGGGCTGGCACAAAGTAAGCACTCCACAGATGTCTGTCACTGAATTGGAATTCCTGCCTCACCCCCACTAACTCAGCTTCCCAGGTCCTGGCCAGGCCAGCAGTTTAATAAGAGGGCAAAGCCCAGAACTGAACCCACTCCACTTCCCTGGCCATGACCTGGTGGGGGTGAAGAGTCTACCCTGAAGTGAAAAGCCTGTAAATAGCATGAGGAGGAATGCAAAGTTGTTAGGATTTGCCTCCAGAGGAAAAGTTATACTTGGGGAAGACATTGAGCAGCTCAGGAATGAACAAAGTCAGATCAAGTAGCAAAAAAGTCCAGCACAGGCCTACCGGCCGCCCAATCCAACAGAAAGGATGTGGTGCCTTTAACCTGATAAGGAAAAAATGTTTTGAATCCCCCCCTATTTTTCATTTTGTTCCCCCACCCACTGGGCTTTGGGCTGTTGGAGAGACTTAAAACACAAATCAGAGTGTCACGGCCTTACTTAAAACTCATAAGAGGGTAATATCTGAACTGCTCACTGGGCCAACTTCAACCTTACTCTTCAAGCTGTTGCCAATGAAGTCTTGGGTCAGCACCTCCATGTCAGGCTTGTCCCTACACAGGGGTTCCACCCAGGCTCTCTCTGTCTGACATGTCTCCTCAAACACCCTCAGGCTCACTCCTTCAGTCATCTGGACTCAACTCATAACCACACGCTCTCAGAAAAATAGTCCTTGATGTCCAAATTAAAATCACATCCCTCTCCCACTCCCCATATCCCAGGACCCCACTTATTTTTCCTTCCTAGCACTCATCCGGCCTCAAATCTGTCCTCTCCGAAAGACTGTGAGCTTCACAAGAGCAGGGAGGGCTGTCTGTCTCTCACCACTGAGTCCTCAGAGTCAGGGCAGGGCCCAACACAGAATATATGAATGAATGAATGAATGAATGAATGAATGAATGAATGAATGAATGAATTTCTCATAACAGTTGCCCCAAACTTCTCCTCTGGTTAGGTCCCAAGTAAGAGCAGAATATGGTCTCCAGTACCCTCCGAGTCACTGAGAGACTTAAAACACAAATCAGAGGCACCACAGGCTCCTCCCAGCTCAAGATTGGGGGCTCTCCCATCTTCTCACCATCCGAGCAGTCCTGGCCTCTCTTTACCTCCTCCTTCAGAAGGGCTGGGAAAATACCAGAAATGGAAGGAACACTGTCTCTTGACTAATTCCTCTAATAAAGGGAACAGGAGAGTAAACTCCCCCACCCCCCAACATCCTGATTTTCTTCCATAGTCTAGAAAGGATTTATTTATTCCCATCCTTTTTAAAGGTTTGAGTGAGGCTCATGAGTGAGCACTAGCTGGAAAATTACTGCTCCAACCTTCCTTTCTTAACATGCTTCAACGACTTGCAAGAAACAGGTTTTTAGGTTTGTGAGGCCGAGAGGGATGGTAGCAGAGTAGAAAGAACAGGGTTGCAAAGATCTAGAAAATCAGCACTAGAATTTACTAGATCTTCCATTTACCAAGCGCAGGCCCCTGGGCCTCAAATTCTGTATCTGACAAATGGGAATCATGACATTGAACTTTAATACCTGCAAAGGGAAGTCCTGCACAACTGTAAAATACTCGATCGTCCTCATAGAGGTTTTTTTCTTGGCTTTAAGGAAGGTCTTGACCCCGAAAGGATGAATGAAGTTCCCCTAGGGAGGGCTTGCTCTGCCCCCAGGAGCCGAGTCAGTCAGCCACACTGTAAAGCTGCATCCGAGTAGAGAGAAAACGTTTTAAAGGGGGACTCGGTGACCTTGGGTTCTGGTTTGGGTTTGCAAAATGTTCCTCCGTTGCCTGTCTCCAGAGCCCCAGCCCCAGCCCAGACCCGGTGCCTGTCATTGGCTCCTCTGGCAACAGGCAAGCTCAGTCCGATCGTGGCGTAGTTAGAAAAAGAGCCTCCCAACCTCCAGTGAAGCCAGAACATCAGCAGGACAAATCTTACCGGGGGGGATTCAGGCCCCAGCCTACCTCTGATCCTCGCATCAAAGCCGCCCCCTACCCCTGGCTCCCCGGAGGCTACAGCCTCCTCGGTTCCTGGGCGGAGCTGGGCCTGCTGCGAGGGCTCTCCACCTTCCCTCAGTTAGGCCTAATGGCGGGGCCTTTTCTTTTCACCGGTGGGGACTGATACGCTCCCCTTTTCCCCCCCAACCCCCCATCATTAACTGCAAAGAAAAGATCCCCGGCCACTTCCATTTCCTCTGCGGCTCAAGAGCCCTGTTATTTAATCCCGTGGCCACCCCGGCAGCATCCTCTGCGCGGTCGCTCCACCCATCCACCTGGCCAATTCCCCATCGCCCCTGCTTCTCCGGAGGGGAGCTGGTGGGGGTGGTTGGGGAAAGGCGCCTACAGCAGCAGAGCCTTGGCCTTCGGAAATCCGAGGCTCTCAGATCCGCATTGCGTGAGGGCTGGGAAACGCACGGGGGTGTACCGGGAGCAGCTAGTCAGCGCAGCCAGAGGAGGACCGACGGACGCCGGGGGCACTGCGGACGTTACCCTGGGGCGAGGGGGAAGGGGTGGCTACGAGGAGAGAGCCAGGTCTCCTCCGCCCAGCAGCCAGCATCGCCTTTGGGGGGGGCGGGGAGGGGGGGACTGGAGCCGGAAGAGGCCTCGGCCCTGTCGCTGTCCACACCCAAGAAATGGGGGAGGGGTGGTCTGCACTCACTCAAGGGAGACTCAGCCTCAGGAAAGGAACGAGATTCATTCATTAACCGCCACTCCACCCCTCTTTGATATGGACGTTTGACGTTTTCTTAATTATTGGTAAAAGCAGCTTCAAGACCCCTCCTCCGACGCCGCTGGTCTAGGGACAGAGAAGGGTCCCCAGCAGGGGTCTTCCCTTTCCCCACCCCCACGACTGCCTGGGGCGGGTAGAGATCCCTAAATTTAGGTGTGTCCTCCCCCGCCCAGCTCTCCGCCTAGGATCCAGAGGCCGCCCCCGCCCTCCCCTCCAACCCCCCACCCCCGCCAGCGAAACTGACGGTTCCAGCCCAGGCCCGCATTGGCTTGAAGGTGGCCTTTACCTCCTCTTGCAGGCTGGGAGGGGGCACAGCCCGCGCAGCTGAGCCAGCTGCAGCAGTCACCGCCGCCCTCCATTCATTTAAAAAAAAAAAAAAAAAAAAAAGGCGGGGGGCAACAACAACCTCTACCCGTCTTTGTAAAAGAACGACGGCCCCTGGAGGAGCGAGAGCCAGCCCCAACAATCACGGGTTAAGTCCTTTTCCGGCCCCCCATTCATAAAAAAAAAAGAAAAGAAAAAAAAAGGAGCTCGGCGCATGCGCGCGCGGGGGTCTCTTGTGCCCACCCATTCATAGAATCGCGAACGACGCGCGTGCGCACTGGAGCTCCCTTCCCTCCCATTCATAAAAAAGCCATTTTCCCAGGCAGTGGTTGCAACATCGCCGCGGAGGCTGCGAGAGAAGCTGACAGCGCGGAGCTGGCGCTGCCGAGCGCAGGAAGCCGTGCCGGTTCCTTCAGCCGGCGTCTGCGAGGACAGTGGCTTCTGACCCGCTCGGGTTAGGGGATTTGCACAGACGTGAAGCAATGCTTGTGATTCTGCGGCTCCTCAAAGTAAGTCCCTGGCCGGTTTCGGAATCCGAAACTGACCCACTCTGAGCCGCGACGCGACTCCCCTTTGGGCTGGGGCAAATGGTGCGCTATTTCTAGGCGCGCCTCAGTGTTCCTTCCCTCTCCCTGCGCCTCCTTGAGTCGCTGCGGTGCTCCGCAGCTCCCGGACGCCCTGGGCTGGGCCGGCCCGGCGCGGAGGGTATTCACCGCCTGGCACCGGCGTTTCCAACCCAGGACATTACCAAGCCCGGCTTCCCCCTACTCTGACTCGAGAAGCCCCGTGCGTGCCCCGGGAGTTTGCCTCTGGCCTGGCCTCTTTCCTCCTGCCACCACCCGCCTCGGGCGCTGGATCGGGAGACTATAGGCTACGTAAGGAGCCACCTTTTGAGTCCGGCGGGCGCCCTCGCCCTGGGCGGCTGGCCCACCCCGGGCTCGGTGCCCATGGTGCCAGCTCTGCCGTAGATCTCCAGAGCCCGCCGCAGCGGCCTATGCTCGACGTAGGTTTTTCTTTCCCCTTCGGAGTCATGACGGACTGGCTTTTCTCCCCTTCTGCCTCTCCCCTCGATGGTCAGCGCCGGGCTGGCCCGGGACTGGGCATTTCTGCTCCCTCTCTTTGGCGAGGCGGTGCCTCGCCGTCTGACCTTTGCTCTGCTGCCGCATTTTATGCTGTGCAGTTAGTTGCCTGTCCTTTTCCCGGCCTCTGCAGGGCCTGAGGCTCCTCGGCCTCCTCGTGCCTCCCTATCCCCGGGCACCGAACTGTGCCAGGCCCCGAGGCCCCCAGGCCGCTCTGGGGCTGTAGGTGCGTTTACATAACGCCGGGCGTGTGGGAGCTGGAGGAAGAGGTTGCGTGCGTAGGAGAGATAAGGCTCCCGCTTTGCCCCTTCCTTCTTGGTGGTACCAGCTTGACATCACTGAGAAGAGAGGATAGAGACGGTACGTTCTGAAAAAACCTGAGCCGCCAAGGCCACGGGTCAGTGAAGGGGGGCGAGGGCGGGTTTGGCCAGCCAGGGCAGCTGGAGCTTAGCTCCATCACTGGGGCCAGGGCTGTGCCCAGTTCCCCCTCTATGCAGACGATCAAAAAGCAGTTAGACAGTAGCTGTTCTTGTGCAAGAAGACGGTTTCTCAATTCTCTTTGATTGGGGGCTGGGGGTTGTGGGTAGAGGAGGCAAGAGAGGCAGAAAATGGTTGCATGGCTTGGAAGCAATGGTTGCAACCAATGGGAGAAGGTACTGGGCTGGAGGGGCTGGATGGTGGGGAGAGGGGAGAGCTGAGAGCTGCTGGATGGGCATCCATATTGCCAGGCCTGGGTGAGGGCAGGAGGCAGCCTTATGGCCTATGGAGGCTGGGGGAGCCCCCTTCCACCCCCACTCCAGCATGGTTAGTGCTGAAAGGAAAGGCGTGGGGTTCCGTGGAGTGGCCAGACTCAGTAGAGAAGCCCCTCTTTCCTGCTTCCAAATCTGTGCCGTTGATTCTCTCCAGTTTGGGGAGGGGCGGGAGCAAGTACATGTCTGTCTGGTTAGCTGACCAAGGCTCTCCAGTCTTTCTGATGAGCCTCTTGGAAATACAAGGTTGTAAGCTGGAGGCCCTGAGCCTCTAGGAAGTCCGGGTTTATCAATCTCTTAATGAGCTCGGTCTGGCCTGAGGCCCTACCCAATATTGCACTGGTGATTTCACAATGTTTAGAGTTCTCTGGATCTTCACAGGAATGGAGCATAAACATCTGAAATTTTCAGCTTTTTTTCCCTTTCTTGTGTGGGTGTGGGGCAGACTAGGAAAGGGAGGTCTGTAGTTGGTGGCCTCTGCATCCACCCATCTCTCTCTCTCTCTCTCTCTCTCTCTCTCTCTCTCTCTCTCTCCCCAGAATGGTGGGAAAAGAAGTTGTAGACATGTCCTGTGTGAAATTGAATTTCCTCTTTCCCAGCCCTTGGGAGGGTCCTCACTTCCCGTCAGGCTCCAGGCGAATCCTAATGTGAGCCGTGCACACACTGGGCCACTGAGCTGCGTGGCCAGTACTGGGTAGGGGGCTTTTTGGAGGCGGATTTCTGAAATCGTGATGGACACATGTTGGTCAGCTAGAGAGAGGAACACTTTCAAGATACCTCTTGGTTATCTTCCTTTTGAGATTCTGAGCTCAGGAGTCATCCCCTTTTTGTGGAGTGTAAATGCTCTCATTCCCGCCACCTTTTCCAGATTAGCCTGTGGAACGGTAAGGTCTCGAAGCTTTGGTTGGGCTTGGTGGGAGGAGGCAGGACACAGAATAAAATGATTCCTGGCTAAAGCAGGGCAGAGCGTGGGGATGGTGACCATTTGGAGCTCTCATATCATTTTTTTCATCCTTCCAGAATGGGTGCACAGATGAGGCTCTTTGGAATTGCACCCTCTGTCCAGGTCATACTCTTTACTCACCACCAGCAGCAACACACACACACACACACACACACACACACACACACACACACACACACCCCATTCTGGTAAACCCCACAGTGCAGAGTTTTTCACTGATTTGAATAACAAATAAAGGCAGCCTTTCAGTGCAAAATTTGGTAGTCAGTGACTTAAAAATTAAGGGCAGAAAAAACCCATTAGCGCTCGCCACACACACACACCGGAAGTGGCCCTTGAGGGGTGCTACTCTAAGGCTTAATACTTTGGCATCTTATATGGGGATTTCTCTTCCAGTTCCTGCCGCTGAAAGCCCTTTGGTGTGATATCTTCCAGCCCCCAGTTCCGGGCCCCCCCAAACCATCCATTTGTGTAGGTCCTGGGTATTGGTACCAAGGAGGCTTAGCAAGGAGCCCCCTCCTTCTCTTCAGAGAAGAAACTCCATGTTCTCAGACAGTGATGGCGTCCACGGCACTCAGTTGGTTCTGAACCCACAGTGCCTGCCATGAGTCCCTTCTGGTGTAGAAGTTCCCTTGTGAGGAAAACTTGGGGGAAGGATTCTTGCACAAACCTGGATCTGGTTGAAAATGTGGATCTGGGATATAGATAAGGAAGGAGAATGGCAGGACTGGAGAAGGATCCATCCCTTGGCCAACCTGGATCTCCTTGACAGAAGGGAAAACAATGAGTCATTGGGACAGATTTTTGCTTTTTCCAAAGAGCCAGAGAAAGAAGGTGATAGAGCAACATACTGAAAACTGTCACACTCCTTCCAGATCAAGCTGGGGGCTGGGTCAGAGCAGATGGTGGCCAGGAAACCTGCTTAGCTCGCGCCTTAGTCTCCCATCTGCAGAATGGGGAGGAAGAACTCCTCCCACGGGGCCAGGGTCAGCAGAGCAGCCAGCAAGTGTGCAGGGCTGGGACTATGCTATTCGTTACTACTGGGCCCCTAGTGGAAGGGGCCCCCTTCCTACACAGGAGGTGTGGGGTGTTGCGTGATGTAAGAGGCGGCATATTCTTGGCTCTCTGGTCTGGGGCCACCCTGCAGATCCGGACAGCTGACAAGGCTGTGGTTGTATCCGGGACATGTGGCTGGGCTTAAGAAGCTCCACCGTTCAGCTGTGATCACGATTGTTCTTTCCAAGGACGGTTGTGGAGGAAGCAAGGGCACTGGGGAGGGAGCACAGATGTGCTGGATCTGGTGGAGGAGGAAGGAGGCCCTTCAGAGGCAGGTGGCCATTTGCAGAAGAGTGGTTTCCCTTGTCAGGTAGTCTTTTTCTGGCTGGGTCACTTCCTGCCCCATCCCAGGAGTAAGCTAAAAATCAATGATGGTAAGTTCATCTGTTCCTGGAGGTGGTAAGATAAAATGATCTCGGGCCTCAGTAAGAGGGAGCCCTGGGGGGTCTAGGTTTCTGCACCCCCCCCCCCCACACACACACACTTTGATGTGGGCCAATTGTTCCAGTGTTAACAGACTTCTCCTAGCCCCATTCTTCTCTGACTCTTGACTTCTAATCCCTTTTTAAGGGGATCTGAGCAGACAACAATTATGGGGGTAATAGATTGAAGCTGAAATTTGAAGCCAATTAGAACAGCCCAGAGCCAAAGTACAAGACCTCTCTCTCTCACTCCTCCTGGCGCAGGGCCTTTGCAGCTCAGCGGATTGGTTGTGGGAGAGGAAGAGAAGAGGGTTGGGAGCTGATAGCCGGTGATGGGACCAAGTGATGAAAAGCAGCTGTTTTCTTTTGTGATATCTAACAGACCGTGGCCAGAGGTGAGCTCCCTAGTGCCGGCACTGGAGTGGGAGGTAGGGCGGAGAGCAAGGGTTCTCAGACAGATCCAGCTGCCTAAATGCTTTTTTCTCTCAACCAGGCCATTCTCGGCAAAGCTGCAGAGATTGTCTTCCTCGGTAGGGCGTAGGGCAGCCAAGTCCCTGGGTTTCCTCCCCCTCCTCTTTAAAGTCTTTTTGAAGCAATAAGTCATTATTTGGTTGGGACTTAATTAACTAAACTGGGATGTTGTCACAAAGAACCAAGCAATAGTGGTGGACAGTGGTGGGCGGGCTCTCTGGCAGACTAGAGACCTTTTTTTCTGAGCTGTGAAAGGGTTAAACAACCTTCCCTGAAAGAACCTGCTGAGACTGAATGGGCAGTGCAGAAACTGCCCATTCATTCAGAGCCTCTTCCAGTTTGTCTCTGACTGACCTGTGGTTTTCAGCCTTTTCCTAGTATTTCCCAACTCCCCTCCCCAGGATAAGTCAAGGGGAAGGGGTGGGTGGGTGGTGCCAGGATGACATTTAACATGCTCTGCCGGTTCCTGGGGGCCTGAGGCTCAGCCCCTCCCCACAGGTACTAAAGCAGTGTCAGGCTCACAGACGGCCAAGCTGCACTTATAGGGCTGTGTGCTCTGGGCTTTCCAATCTCCTGCCGGTTCAGTCTGCTAGGACTCTGTTTTTCTGGCTTCCTCCAACCTTGGCTGCTCTTTCCCTTCTCCACAGCCCTGGGCCAGGATGCACTCTCCACGAACAGCCCTAGGGACCCTTAAGTTCAGCTTTACAGGTGGAGGAGAGGGGATTCCCGCCCATTCCTGGGTTTCCTCTTAGGGACTCCTTGTTTGTTGAGGGTCCTACAAGTGAGACCATTCAACTTTTTAAGAAAACTAAAAATAAAAACACTTACTAAACTGGGGGAGAGGCAGTGAGGTGACAGAAGGGATAGCAAAGAAACAGAATTGGAAGTGAAGGTAATAATTGAGCTCTGAGCCTTCGTTTCATGGCAGATTTCAAACCCCCAGCCTCCACTTGCCACACTGAAAATTTCCCCCTACCTGGGGGCCAGGCTCATGTCAGCCTGCGTTGGCTTCATTTCCCTGCTGGTTTGGTTAAAAGCCCGCTGATGGCCTGATGTCATTCCCCAAGGGCTGGTGGCCGCCTGGGGAGACTGGTCGAGTTCATGGCTGTGAAAATGATTGGCGCTTTCATGCTTTTCCATGAATAACCAGAAGTTACTACTGTAAGTCAGGGCTGACGTTGCAATGTCTGGAGCTTCTGCTCTCTGGGGTTGAGCCCTTCCCTGATCCCTTGCCAGCTCTATGGCCCTTTTTCTTCCACTTTCTTCCTCAGCAAAATGGGAGTGATCCTCCAAGGTGCTGGTGAGGATTAAGTGGGAAAATCATCGCGGGCTTATCACAGAGCCTAACACCAAGAAATGTTTCATAAATATTAGCTGCTTCCATAATAATAATAATAATTATTAGAAGGTTGGAGTGGAGTGAAAGTTTTCTTTCCTCGTGCTAATCCATAGGCCCACCACCTAAAACTCAATAGAGGTGCTTCTCTGTCTAAGTGGAGTGCTGGCTTTGTTTCTCTGTCCATAGTCTTCCAAATTGGCCATCCGTCTTCCAAACAGCCTAAACGAGGCAAAGCCTCCTCCTATTTATATTATAAATCCTTCCTTCCTTGCAGGGGAAGCAGAGTACATATTAAACTGCACTTAAAGTTCATCAGCCTCAGCCTTGCTTAGACTCTGGAGGGTGGGTGTGTCCTGGGAGTAGAGATTGATCTTCTAAACCAATTGAGGATTGGGTTTTTTTGAGACTTCATTTAGCTGTGCTGAGGGGTTTATCTAACTGGCAGTTCCGGAAGTTGTTTTTCTTTGTCAGCCAAATGAATTCAGCCCTCCTGTGGAGGGTCCCTGCTAATGGGGAGGGGAGGCCATGAGGCCTGAGGAGGTGTGAGCCCTGCAGCTTCTTAGCCAGCAGGTAGTTTTTGCTGAGCTAGCTAGCGGCCAGAAGGAATCCTGTATCTGGGTTATGATAGGAAATTTGTGTTTTATTTTTTTAATTAGAAAAAAATATTTTGTTTTTAAAAATTTTGTTTTCTTTTTCAATTACAGTTAGTTTCAGGTGTACAACATAGTGATTAAACATTTGTGTACCTTACAAAGTGATCACCCTGGTAAGGCTGGTACCATCTGACACCTTATATAGCCATTACAATATTATTGACTATATTCCCTCTGCCGTACTTCACATTCCTGTGACTGGTTTTATAACTGACAATTTATATTTTAAATCTCTTCCGCTTTTTTCAGACAACCCCCCCTCCCATCTGGCAACTGTCAGTTTGTTCTTTGAATATGAGTTTGTTTTGTTTCTTCATTTATTTTGTTTTTTTAGATTCCACATATAAATGAAATATGGTACCTGCTTTCGTCTGACTTATTTTACTTATACCTTCTAGGTCCATCCATGTTGTCACAAATGTAAGATTTCATTCTTTTTTATGGCTGAGTAATATTCCACTGTACACATGTACCATATCTTGAGTCTGCAGGCCGACGCTCTATCCACTGAGCCAAACCGGTTAGGGCTAACACATGTACCATATCTTTACCCATTTGTCTGTCAGTTAACACTGAGGTTGCTTCCATATCTTGGCTATTGTAAATAATGCTACAATGACTATAAGGGTGCATATGTCTTTTTGAATTAGTGTTTTGGATTTCAGGGAAGATGCATTTTAGAATATGCCTGCTGGAGCCATCTTGCATGCAGCCTGTCCCAAGAGAGCTGAGTCATTGTGGACCAAGCTCCACCCCCATGTCTGGCCCTAAATGCAGGCCCAGATGTTGACAGCTGCCTTTGGAAGGTGATGGGAGCCTTCTAAATGCCAATATCCCCATTCCCTGCAGGCCCTGCTCCCATCCTGGCTTCCTTGTGGGACTTTTCCATGGGACTTTTTCAGTGAATCTGTCTTCTGATTACAGACAGAGCCTGTTAAAATCTCTGAGCATTGCTCGTGCCTTTTGCTTCATCCACAGAAAATGGTTGTTTTCTTTGTGTGTTTTTTAAATATATTTTTATTGATTTCAGAGAGGAAGGGAGAGAGATAGAGAAAAACATCAACGATGAGAGAATCATTGATTGGCTGCCTCCTGCACGGGATCAAGCCTGCAACCTCGGCATGTGCCCTTGACTGGAATTGAACCCAGGACCCTCAGTCTGCAGGCCAATGCTCTATCCACAGAGCCAAACCAGCTAGGTTGTTTTTAAAGAACCCCAGGACTAGAACTGGGGAAAGGAGAGTGGATCATCTGCTTAGGTGAGGGCGTACCGTACCCCTCCTTCTTCCACAGCATGGCAAGTCCCAATCCTGGTCCTAAGAGATCAAAGCCCAATGACATGGGGCAATACAGCCTTCAAGCCACCACTGACATTTTGTTGGCAGGACCCTGAGTATTCGTGATCTGAGCTTCTGGAATAAGGGAATCGAGTTGTCTTTGTCTGGGGTGGGGGTTCTAGCTGAGGCACCTCTTGGCTGGCTCCAGAAGTCTCATCCTGGGCCCCTGTCAGCATTTTCCATTCTGACGCCTCATCACCTTTTCCTCCAAGCAAAGGACGTGGGGCTCCTAACCCTCTTCTGTTGATCCCAAACCCATTTACTCTAGAGCAGTGATGGCGAACCTATGACACGCGTGTCAGGTGACACGCGAACTCATTTTTCTGGTTGATTTTTCTTTGTTAAATGGCATTTAAATATATAAAATAAATATCAAAAATATAAATCTTTGCTTTACTATGGTTGCAAAGATCAAAAAATTTCTATATGTGGCACGGCACCAGAATTAAGTTAGGGTTTTTCAAAATGCTGACACGCCGAGCTCAAAAGGTTCGCCATCACTGTTCTAGAGGCAAGCCTTTGGAACCCCTGCAAGGGTAAGTGGGCTGAGGTAGCAATCCCTGAAGTTCCTCCCCCATGGCCAACCTGATCCTTGGAAAACTCTCCATAGATGCTTATTTGCCATCCCCCCATCCAGCCCTGACCACAGGAGGCCGCCTTGGCAAATGACTACTTGGTGGCAGACCTGCCAGGCACTTAGGGCTAACTGCCGTGACAAAGTCTCCCGTTTGAAGATGATGCTCTCTTTTCATCGGGAGAAAATGTGGAGGCAGGAGGCAGACTTTCCAAGATGGGAGAAACCATGCACAGAAACACCAGCATCTTTTACGTAGGCAGACAGTGGGAGCTAAGCCAACAGTTCATGCCCTATGCGAACGGGAAAGATCAGTTGACTGAGCACTGAACCTTGTAGAAAAGGCTTTCTTTTTTTTCCCCTTGCATTTGGCAGTATAGATGATGCACAGATGAGAAGCCTGTGGGTAAGCTCCCTTTCATCCCATCCCCTTCGTGAACTTTGCATCTAGAGCTAGCTCTTTACTTCAGACGGGCTGGGAAGCATCTAAGGAAGCCCTTCCCCAACCACTGTACCATTGCTGATCAAACCGCTGTTTCCAAGAAGGGGAAATACAATGCTGAGTGGCCCTGAATGCCTTTCTTATCTCCTCTTCATTCCTTACTATAGACATTGAGAAGTATGGATGAGTCATCCGGGCAAGGTGTCATTCTCCTGTAATTGGAATATTGCGATGGACCGACTGTGTCCCAAGCCTGGAGCCGTATGGGGAAGTGGAAACCTATCCATCCACATCCCCTCTTAGGCATCACCTTTGAGAGAAGATGAACCTAACAGCTGAGGCGCAGGATCTGCTCTCCTAATTAGAACATCATTAGCATCTTGAAAAAGCATTTCCCGAAATCCCACCCGTAACACATTACTCCAGTGGCCCACCCCGCCCCCTTTTCTAAAAGATGATTATATCTCCCTTCTATCTGCACACCCTGTTTTGTCCCCACCCCCCACCCCCAGTGGAATCTTCCCAGAGTCTAATCTTTCTCTTGGATTCCAAATCATGTCCCCTTGGGCAGAGGTCTTGGCCTTCTGCTGCTATTTCTTTAAATTGATCTCCAGCCGAATTCCGAATGTAAAGGTCAGCAGGCGAGGAAATGGCACTTCTAATAGAAAACAATGTGCACTTTCTAAATTTGAACCAAGCCGTTTCCGCTCTTTGATTTAAGTGACTTCCTGGGGTTCCGTGTCAGGCCCTGCAGTTGAATCTCTGGCAGGATTCCAGCTTAAAATTGCACTCTCTCAGTGAAATTAGAAACTGATCCAGGGTTGGCTTAGCTATTCTAGTAAATAGCATTTAGGCGGAATGTTCAGCTCAGCACTTGGAAATGGGCGATGTGAGTGCCCCTGGAGAGGATTTCCCATCCAAGTTGTCAGACGCTCACCTACCCCTGGGTTATTAGCCGCTGGAGGTTGCTGCTCTTAGAAGTGCTGGTAATAAGTTAATATCCTGGACGTGCAGGCATCAGATACGGCCCTTCCTTCTCTTGTGACTGAAATAAAGGCTTGTGTTTATCCAGCTGATAAACCTGACGGGAGCACACAGGGGCTGTCTCTCGTGGTCACCACATCCTCAGCACAGTGCTTGGCTCGCTGTGCTTCACTGTGTTCAGGAAACCCACACTGTGGCGCTCTGGGAGGGCGATAAAGTACGGAGCACTTGCTGTATGCCAGGCAAGACGTTAGGGACTGGATGTCCATTTTCCCATGTAATCCTCACGGGAACCCATTTTATAGTTGGCAAAACTAAGGCATAGAGGCTAAAGAACCTCATTCGTGGCAACACTGTTAGGCACAGGAGGGAGGATTCGAACTGGGATCTGATTCCAGAGCCCGTGTTTATCACCATCGAGCGATCTGTCTTAAATGAGGAGCATGGTTCCCAGGGACTACAAGAATGAACTCAGGTTTGAGTCCTGGTTCTGCTACTGATCGTTTTGTGCCATTATGGGCCAATTACTTTGAACATTAGGTTCCTGTGACTAGAACAGGGGTAATAATAGTAGGAATGTTTCAAGGTTATTGTGAAGAGTCAGTGACTTGATAGTCATGGTACTTGTAAAGAGCTAAATAAGTGTAATTCCTACCACTTACCATTACTGTTGTTGTCATTATTAATCATCTAAGCCTTAATTCTGGAGATTCCGCCAAAGGAAACCAGTTCCCACTTCATTTGGGCTCCCAAGCACCTGATGGGGACGGGGGTATTAACAGGCCAAACACTGACGCCTGGAATCCATTCTCTCTTCCTCCCCCCACCCCCAGGGCCCCTAGAAGCCTGTTTCTCAGTGCTGTCCAGGACCTCCAGCCCCATGGAGCCCCCGATCCCACAGACCGCCCCCTTGACTCCCAGCTCAGTCATGGTCCAGCCCCTTCTCGACAGCCGCGTGCCCCACAGCCGGCTCCAGCACCCACTCACCATCCTCCCCATCGACCAGATGAAGACCAGCCACGTGGAGAACGACTACATCGACAACCCTGGCCTGGCGCCCCCCGCCGGCCCCAAGCGGACCCGGGCTGGGGCCCCGGAGCCGGCCTCCACGCCTGCCCGCTGTGACCAGGACGCCACCCACCACTGGATCTCCTTCAGTGGCCGCCCCAGCTCCGTGAGCAGCAGCAGCAGCACGTCCTCCGACCAGCGGCTCTTAGACCACATGGCGCCGCCCCCCGTGGCTGACCAGGCCTCCCCGAGGGCTGTGCGCATCCAGCCCAAGGCCATCCACTGCAAGCCGCTGGACCTCAAGGGGCCCGCAGCGCCTCCCGAGCTGGACAAGCACTTCCTGCTGTGCGAGGCCTGCGGGAAGTGCAAGTGCAAGGAGTGCGCGGCGCCCCGGACGTTGCCCTCGTGCTGGGTCTGCAACCAGGAGTGCCTGTGCTCCGCCCAGACCCTGGTCAACTACGGCACCTGCATGTGCCTGGTGCAAGGGGTCTTCTACCACTGCACCAACGAGGACGATGAGGGCTCCTGTGCCGACCACCCCTGCTCCTGCTCCCGCTCCAACTGCTGCGCCCGCTGGTCCTTCATGGGCGCCCTCTCCCTGGTGCTGCCCTGCCTGCTCTGCTACCTGCCCGCCACCGGCTGCGTGAAGCTGGCCCAGCGCGGCTACGACCGCTTGCGCCGCCCCGGCTGCCGCTGCAAGCACACGAACAGCGTCATCTGCAAGGCGGCCGCTGGCGACGCCCAGGCCAGCAGACCCGACAAGCCTTTCTGACATTTGGGTCGAAGCCCCCGGCGCTCCCCTGGGAACTGGGTTCCCTCCTGACACCTGAGAAGACTGCAGCGAGGCCAGAGGTTCTGGCATCAGAGGTGACCTTGCCAGGCTGCCACCCCAGCTTCGGAAGAAACAGAGACCCCCCCACCCCCCACCCCCCTCACCCAGTCTTCCCCAAGAGGAAGCGGCAGCACTGTGGGTTTTTTGCGGGTCCTGGAACTTGGCGTGAAACAGACAGCGGCAGGGGCATGGTGTGCCTCGGGGTGGTGGGGGGAAGATTCTTCTTTTCCAGAAGACAGATGTGGCCACATAGCCGGAAGTTGCAGCTGCTTGACTGCCTTCCCAGCTCTCCCTCCTCCCTCCCTGCCTCCCCCCTTTCCCATTCTTTTTAGCTGCCTGGGAGGAACCCGTAACAGAGTGGCCAAGGGACCTTTGAAGACAACCGTGCAGTCTTGATGGCTGTATCTTTTCTCCTCCCCGACCCCACGGCTTGCCTGACATCCTGGGGAAGGTGTGGACCCTGGCTGGCAGTCCCTGTTGTATATACTTGGGAGCCCTTGAGAAGAGAGGTCGGCCAGCGAGTCCAGGCCTCGCTCCCTCTCTCTGTCTCCTGGAGCCTCGGATGGATTCAGGAGCCACTACACAGAGCACCTCTCCCTTCCAGCTCCATCCCTCGCGGGGTTGTTGCGCTCTTAACACCGTCCTGCGGCTCTCACTGAGTCACAGACTCGCCTGCCTGCTTCTTGTCCTGAGTTCTCTCCACCCAGATCCTTCCCAGAAACTTGATGGGTCGAGAAGCCCAGGGCGGCAAATGCAAGACCAAATACCATTTTGCCAATGAGTCTGAGGCTGTGGTCTCTGGACCCGGTCATTGTGTTTTTATAGAGTCGTTAAACCAGATGCTAACGGTGTTTTAGAAAATAATAATCAAACACTTGCTTCCTTTTGGGCCACCCCCAGGAAGGGCTGATTTCAAAATCTGGGGGGGCGAGCAACCTTAAGGAACACAACCCCCCTCCCCACCAAGAAGAGGATTTTAACAGCAAAGAAGAGAGACAGCACCTCGCGTTGGCAGAGGGACAGTGGAGCCGAGATGGGTGCCGGTTTCTTCTCTTCTGATTCTGCTGCTTGCTGTCATGGCCTTTGATGTACAGTGATGTGTCTGTATCTTTAATGTAAATAGACAGAGGATGGAAAAGAAGAGTCTATTTTAGTGTTAGGAAGCCCTGGTGGGGGAGTCAGAAGAATGCGGGTGGGGGGAAGATTCTCCAGGGGCTTCTTGGGGTTGAGCCCTGCTTCTGTGCATGGCCACGCCACCCCCTCCCGACAGCCCCCCAAGACGTAGCAACTCTTTCTCTCAAGGTGCTAAAGAACTCGGAAAGTGCAGCACGTCCGGTGGGTAGGTACTTGTTGCATGCAGACGCTGTCGTGTCTGGTCCTTCTCCCTAGTGTTGTGCGGGGTTCTTGCTTCATGTGGTATTTTGTGTCCCCCTCTACCCTCTCCCACAAGAGGAAGTGGCCTGGGTCAGAAAAGCCACCCCAGGGGAAACTGGAAGTGCAGTAGGTGTAGAGCGCTTGTCGCATTTCCAGTTTGTCCTGGAGGAACACAAACGGCCTCCAGGAAGGATGCGAGGAGGCACGTAGCTGTGATTGGGTGCACCCAGCGCTTCTCGAGAAACGTCCCCTCCCCCTTGAAGACTAGTAGTAACATCTTATGATTTTAGAATAAGTTAATTGTAACCATAGGTATTTATTGATGGGTGGAGAGGAGGGGAGGGTCTTATTATTTTTAAAAGGCTTTATTTATATAACATTTGCTAGCTTGTAAAAGGCAAATAGGAAATACTGCATCTGCGTTTTCTATGGCTGATTCACGTAGCTACCCGTGCCACAGTCGGGATGGATGTATGGATCTTGCACAAATGGAGGGGATGGTAGGGAAAAAACACATTCAGCCAACCACTTACGCTAATTGAATGTATCAGACGTGTACTGAAGACTGGAGGTGTTTTCCTCAGAATAGGTTACCCCTAAAACGAGAGGGCACACCTCCGCTCTTGGGGAGGCCTCGGAATGTTCCCAGAGCCCCTCCCTCAGATGTCTCCATGGGAAACTTGACCCGGTGGCAAGTTGCACTTTGGTGATGGTGTTCTGCACACCCGTTCTGTGGAGAATTGATTTATATAAGCTGTGTATACACACACACCTACCCACCCACCCTCTCTCTACATAGACCCTGTTTCTGGCAAACAGCCTCCTGAACCCTGACTTTTTGTGTACATAGTTGTAAACAGATTTTTCTGGATTTTGGTTTTCTTTTTCCTTTTTTCTCCCCTGTTTTGGCTTACTCTTGAGTTTGCATTTAACCTGCTAGATGGATGTCTGCAGAGCTCTCGGTGTCCTGTGTGCTCCGGGGGGGAGGGAAGGAGCGGACAGCCTGGTCCCTCGCCCAGCTCTGTTGCATTGCAGTCCCTCAGCATGTTTTTTCTCGGCTTCTTGGAAAAACAAACACAAGAAAACTGGCTTGCTGTGGACCAGTCAGGAGCCACCAAGGGACCCAGCTCTCAGTAAAAGGACACATTCCTGGGGCCGCTCCGGCTGAGAGTGTTTCCTGTCACCCATGGCTTGCTTGGCTAAATTAGTCCTCGTCTTGATCTTTTTTGAGAAATGCCAGCTGGTTTCCACGTCTCTTCAACCTGGAGTGGGTGGTGGTTCTGCCTGGAGGTGGGGGCACAAGCCTGGGTCCAGGACACTCGTCCTAGGGGGCCTTGGTGCTCCCCCCACCCCAAGGGCGGTTTGTGGAAGCCCAACGCTCCAGCAAGCGCCCTGGGAAACGTCTAGGACAGCAAAGCCCTCTCAGGTCCATGACTGCACAGCCAAGGCTTCGACAGCTGGAAGGAGGCGGAGACCAGTTCCTCCTGACAGATGGCCACGTGGCTCGCCTGGTCCTCTCAGCGTCCTGAAGTCTGCGTGGGTCCCCGCTGTGCATCTAGGGGGAGACCTAGACAGACAGTGACTTGTCCAAGGTGGCACAACACGGGAAGTGTTGGTTGGGACCAGCACCCGGAAGCTTGTCACCTTGAAGCTCCATGTTCTCCCATGCTGCCCCGGGAGACACCCAGTGGGGTGCGGGCAGCACCACTCCGCACTGTACAATTCCGTTCCCTAGGGCGTCCCGCCCACGCCCTGGCCTTCCGGCTCCTGCCTTCGGTAAGCATTTCCATGCCCTGCTTACTGTGACGGTTGATGACAATTCCTGCGCTGCCATTCTTGCTGTGGGTGACTCCGTGTGGTGTCTGATCTCGCTTTCGCTTCTCACTGCCGCAGTGTGGTTTCCTGTTACAAACGGGAAAGCTGTCCGAGGTTCCCATCCCACCGCACCTCTGACTTACTCCCCCACTCACTGTAGCCCCTTCTCACCCCACAACAAAGTTACCACAGAAGGTCCCCTTTGTATAGAATATTTATTTTGAAGCTCTATTTTAATAGTATTTATTTTAGAAAGTCTACTATTGTAAGAGTTCTTCTGTTTGTGAAGAAAAAAAACAAGTTAAAACTGAATGTACTGATTTAGAAAATATATATAAATATATATTGTTAAATATACACCGGACTGTCGTTTCTCGTGTGTGTGTGTGTGTATGGTCGTGCCCCTACATCCCGCCCAGCAAGGCCCCGTGTTTGTCAAAGAACACTGACCAGATGGGACTGTGTCCCCACGCTCTGGCAGAACAAAGGGACACAAAGGGGTCCTGGCTGGGGCGGTCCCTCGCACCCCTGGAGGAAGCTTCTCTTGCTGAGGAAGCCGAACCCTGCCAGGTGCTGCTAATTCCTCCTCCTCTGGGGAGCCTTCCCCCCATGGGCGAGTATTGGTAACAGATGGACAGCAACATTCAAAGTAGGAAGTGGTGGAGGTGGGGAAGGGTGGCCTGCCCTGCCCAGTTTACAAAAATCCTTCAGCTTGAATGTCCTGGTGCCCCCCTAATAGATTTTCATGCACACACATGCTTTAAGGAGACAAACAGAAAAGCCCGTGGTGGTTTTCTTGATAGATATTGTACAAAACAAGTCACTTTGACCTCTAACTCCATCCGCTGAATATGCTGCCTCCTGATGCACCTCCACCCCCAGATATACTCAGACTTGGTAGAGGCCCCGCCCCTTCTGAGGTTATGTGGCTGGGAGAACTTTTTTCATTACTTTTAATTCATATGCCAATCACGATGAAAGCTGGGCTTTTATTTTGAACATGTGAGCACACGCCTCTTGTTTTCTGAATGAAAAGGAACTGAGCCGTAAAGACTTTTTTTTTCTTTTTTTTACCAATAAGTGGGGTCAGGTCATTAACAATGGGGAGAGGAGGTCAGGAGCCCCAGGTCCAGTTCTTTGTCTCTCTGAGGTCACCAGTTACAGTGTCTTCCGATCCTCTGAAAGCCTTGGGTTCCTATCCGAGCCCATTTCCAAGGATCCCCTGGCCGCTGCCCAAGAAAACACACAGGATGCTCTTACCGTGGCCTTGGAATAAGGACTGGGGGCCGGCCTCCCCCCGGGCCGGACCATGTGGCTTGTCCCATTCTCTCAGGACGGATGCAGGGCAATCAGTGAGGGCGCCGATACCTCGCTTTGCTGACCAGGTAAGTAACTGGCACGTAAGGTGCTTTCCTGTGTCATCGGCTCAGCTCCAGTTACAGGTAGCCCTTTTTGCACTCTGTAAACAATACCTGTTTCGGCTAACTGAAAGAAATCAGAAGAGGATTTTTTGCTTTTATGAGAGAAAGGCAAAAAGTGAATAGAATAGTGTTCAGCATTTGTTTTGCAGTGAATGAGCTGATAGAGGCGGCCTGTCCCTGAGCAGCGGGGGAAGTATGGAGCGGTGAGAGTGGCCACCAAGCTCCCCCAGGAACTACAGTCAGCATCTCAGCGTTAAGTTATCTTAGCTTTTAAAAAAGTCCTCACCTAAGCCAGTATCCAGAGAAAAGGAATGAGGCTATTTTTTCCATTGGTTTTCTTAGAGAGTGGTAGGGGAGGGGGAGGGAGAGAGAAACATCTATTGGTTACTTCTTACACAGTCCGGACAGGATCCGGGAGCAAGCCTGCAACTGAGATACCTGCCCTTGACTGGGAATCAAACTGCGACCCTTTGGTCCGACGGCCACCACTCCAACCACCAGACAGACCGGCCAGGGCAAACTGCCATAGCGTTGAGCATCTGTACTTCACCTTGATTTGTTTTGTGCATCATTAGTAAGATGTGTCCCTGGGTATCAGAAAAGTCTCAGAGAGCGCCTAAGAGTGTTGCACTTGGTGTAAAACGGGACGTGAGTAAGCATATTTGGCATGATTTGGTAGGTTATATTTGGGGGCTGAGAATGCTCAAAACTTTTTCTATATAGCCCTAGCTGGTTTGGCTCAGTGGATAGAGCGTCAGCCTGTGAACTGAAAGGTCCCAGGTTCGATTCTGGTCAAGGGCACATGCCCGGGTTGTGGGCTCAATCCCCCCAGTGCAGGGAGTGCAGGAGGCAGCCGATCCATGATTCTCTCTTATCATGGATGTTTCTATCTCTCTCTTCCTCTTCCTTCCTCTCTGGAATCAATAAAAAAATATTTTTAAAAAATTAATGGTAATTGCTTCATCTCTTAACGCCATTTTGGCCAATGAAGGGATTCCTACACTAGGATAGCGTGGGAAACCACTGAATACCAGGCTTTCATTCAGTCTTTGGTGTCCTGATGAATAGGTGCCTCTGGTTTTACTTTGTTTCTGGTGTTTGGAGATTAAAAATAACAGAAACCTATACAGGGAGTTGGGTGCTCAGAGTCTCACCCATCCAAACGCTCTGGGGAAAGGGGAGCTGAATGGATGTGTGCTTGTTTATAGGAAAAAGCAGTGTCCAGAGAACATTGCACATACTGCCTTCCTGTCGCTCCTGGACCGGCCCGGTCCTCTCAGCTCCCAGTTAGGAAATGGCTTTTGGGTGATGAGAGTGGTTAGCCTTTGAGGAACAGCTTCCTTTTGCCAGGTACCAAACACACACGGCAGATACCATTGTGCCCTCTTAGAGGTGCAGAAACAGGCTCAGAGAAGTAACATGCCTAATACATGGTTGAGGGCTAGGCAGGAAGAACGGAGCTGAAGGTTTTAGCGTTGCAATTTGGGGAAGAAGTGTGGGATGGACTAAAATGACTCCCCGGTGACTGAATTTAAAATAAGGGGGAAGTGGAACTCAAAGCTCTCCACATCCACAACCCCACTCCCCTATACTGTAAGGGCACCACAAGCCTGGCGCTCATCCCACAAAGAAAGGATGGGAGGGGGGTCCCAGTTTAATGGCAAACAACTAGAACCCCCTTGCAACTCTGTCATCTGGCCAGGAGGCCCCAAGCACTCCTGCAGCTCCCCAGCCGGCCCCTCCAGCCTGCTGAACCTACAACTTGAAATGAGCTCAACTTTCCAAGGAACATTTGTGAACTAATCAAATGAACCCCGGCAGACAGCTCCGTGCTGGAGGTGTGTGCCAGATGAAAGCCGAGAGGACATTTTTAAGAGCCGTAAGTTTATTCATCGGAACTTTAATAAAACAATATGTCCATGGCCTAGGGCAGGTATAATTTTCATAATTTATGGGTCTCTGAGACAGGAAGAGAGCTCAGGGTTTTATTGTGTTTTGCACGATAAATGGCATTCCAATTGTCTACATGATGTTCTTTAAGGACTCTTGTCTGGCAGGAACACAGGCCTTCTGGAGCCCACCTGGGCCTCGAGGCCCGAGGCAAGGGATAATTATGAATACATCTGTATCTGTTAAGCAGGAGATGATTGAAAAACTCCCTCGCTTCCTTCTGTCATTAGAAGACACTTCCTATGCCGACACCTATATTAACATTTAACTGATGCAAGGTTTGGAACCCTCCCTGTTCCCTTCTCCCTTAGGTCTGGCCTCTTTCTTTCCTGAACCTGAAGAGACTCCCATAAATGACTGGCTGCCTTCCCATTGGGCACAGTGAGGGATAGGGAGTGGCTTCAGACCCTGAACAAAAAAATCCATCATCCATAAAGCAAGAGAATAGATGAAGTTCCAAACGGTGCTCTAATTGAAATCAATCGTTGGAATACTTGCCGTCTTCATGGAAGCCTTCCCGGGGTAACAGAGGTCAAGTGGCTTTATGAAATCATTACCAAAGCTGTGGCTTGTAAGTAAAGACTCTGCATTATCATTTACAATCTTGAAAACCATCAAAGTAAGTTGATATAATCAATCTCATTTTACAGATGAGGAAGCAGACTCAGAGAGGTTAAGTCACTTGCCTAAGGCCAACAGCTGATGAGTGGTAGACTGGGAGGCCCACATAAAGCTTGCACTACATGCTAAGGGCCTAGTCTAACTTTCAGACCCCATTCAGATATCTCTTCCCCTGGGATGCTTTCCTGTGCCCCCAGGAAGAGGTTTCTTGCCACCTGTGATTCTATAGAAGTCAGCAGAATAGATGATCTTTAACCAAGATTACAGAGACTAATCGAGATAAAACTTGAATCCGGGTCTAACCACCACACCACAGCACCCTGTATAAAATAAAATATTGAGGCCCCATTCTCAAGCTGATCTCAAGAAGGAAGGGTCTTCCATTACCACACAACACTGCTCTTGACCAGCCTGCCTGATTTCCTTCACAATCAAGATTTCTTCCCCAGATCTATGGAATTTATAGGCTGTGGTGGTCAGGGGCAAGAATCTTACAGGGAAGAGGGGGCTGGAAGTGGCCCCAGGTAATGTAAAGGTGGTCTCCATGGGTAGGTGGTGAGAGTTACAAATGAAGGGTGAAGGTTGAAGGTTTCCAGGGCAAAGACACGTTCATCTTTAGGTTAGGTGGATGGGCATGGACCACAGCATCCAGAGTGGAAATGGAAGGCAGCGGGGGTTGGGGTGAGACCACCAAGCCGTGCTTCTTCCAACCCCCCTCCCCCCCAGGCTATTGCTTGAACAGTTTCCAGGCAATGCTCCATCCAGCCTAGGATCTCTAAAGCTCTGAGATGCCAGGATCTAACTGGCTTAGAGAACTAGTGTCCACCCAGGTGGGGCCAGTTCCTAGAGCCTTGGGGCTCTCTGAGCAGTGACTGCCACTTCCACTCTCCTCTTAGGGCAATGTGGTGGGAAGCACTGAGCCTTACAGTCCCGCTGCTCAGGTCCCTGCTCTGCTTCCTCCACTAGTGTGACCCTGGGAGAGTCAGTGCCCCTCTAACAGTTGGAGGATTAGATAGTGCTGTGCACAGCAATGATAAATGTTGCTCATATCCTAGAGATGAAAACCTGGCTCCTATGGAAGAGCAGAGATTAGAACTCGGGTCTCCTCTCCTCTCCGCCTCAATGATGCTATCCCGTCTTCTGCAGCCCCGAAGGCTGGACCATGTAGGCAAGTCAAACTGTTGGCCCACAGCGTTTTCAAAAACTATTGGTTGTCCTCATTTGAAAAGAGGTTTCCAAACCCAGATCTGAAACTTCTCCTGAAAAATAGACTTGCCCTCCTGGGCCCCCCTTCTCCATGGCAGCCAATAGCTACAGCTGACTGGCAGCTGCCCTTTTCACA